TATCTTAAACAAGTATGATTTTATTGGAACAATTTATGATCCTCTCATATACGATTATTGATACAATTTACTCCATACGTTTTAGTATATTATTTATTACATGATTTACTATATATGTTTTATTATATAATTTAGTATATGGTTAATTTTTAATGGTGTAACGGCTGTATTGAACGATACGCAACGACGACACAGTACGAGGGTACGCTACAAGTGGATACGCACCTTAAACGTGGGCGAGTATGAATCGCGCAGGTGATGCCACGATACAAGACCCGTCTTTATGATACCGTGTCGGACATTTAATTACACACGGCGAGCTCACGATATTCGTGTAACGATCGCACGCGACATCCGTGTTGTTAATATCGCCGCTCGTACCGAAGATGCATATCGGCGAGCCGACATTAAGCGGGAAAACGTTACAGTCCGGCGAAATCTCTGATCTTTAATCATCGCGTTTGGCTCGCGCACCGGAGCACGTGCTATCGCGAACGAGAATGTCGCCGCACTTGATCTTAACGATCCAACCCTCGTTTCCCAACTCAATTTGTTCCTCGCGTGTCAAATTGACAAGCGTTTCTATTTACATACTAACCGATGAGAGTTTTTTAATCAATTTTCTCAAGTTACAGTATTCTCTTCGATAAATGTGAAACTGCACGTTAAACTTTTATCGTTACAACTAAGAATTGTTTCATGAATCCAGTGAAACGATTAACGTAGTTTCGCGATGATTCCGATTAATTTAATATGATGCAATATCTATACGAGAGGATATTAATGTAATATGAAGTATTGTTTATGCCTTAATTCTTTATACAATTTTTCCGAGTCCAATTATTTTCATGGAAGGAATAAAGGTACTGTATTTTATTTCTCAAAAGGATGTTTTGCACATTTATTTACAGTGGCGTGCGCAGAAGTGCGAGCTCGTGATTAAAATAATTATAAACATGTAATGAAATTACAATTCTGTCAGACGCAGTATATATTTAATTATTCAACGAACAGAAAGTTTTTTAATTACAAAAAGGAATAAGATGAGAAAAAGATAAATTAAAACTGAAGTTAACTGATGAATTAGATAGGCGAAAGAAGAACAGACGGAAGAAATTATATTAGTAACACAAATGTATGTATAAAATGTATAAATAAGTTTTTACGCAATCTCACTTAATATTTTAGTAGAATTCCCAGCAAGAAAGTCAATGCTTTCAATATTGTCTCTTTTTATCATACTTCATTTTATTTCATTATCTACTTACAGTGTTAGGTGTCAAATCAAATTTAAGACATTAATACTGTATTCATACTTCAACATCGTTCGAATAACCATACAGAATGTCTAATAAGAAGGATAGTATGACAATACAATTATTTCAAAGATTAGTATAAACCATTGACTCTGACTTCGAGTATGTTTGGCGCGAAATTTGGAGTTGGGTTGAGCATCACTGGGCCTGTAATAAGTGTAAGCGTAGCGAGAGATACTGATGCGTCGTCGCTCGTTCTCGTTCCGTTCTCGTCGAATCTCGGCGCGGCGCACTGTGAAACCGTGATGACGCAACAACCAAGTGACGGCGGAGGTTGTGGTGCCGACGTGCCGCGAATGCGCCTGTCTAAAAGTCTGCTGCACTCACGGTACTCGCTTTTAAATCGCCCTCGCAAACTTGACGTTGTCTCAATCTTTAAAGGATCTTCAATCAATGATCGTAAAAAAGCATTGGACAAAACTTTTGTCATACTAATTCATATCCGTTAAACTTCATTTTTGGGCACCAGTTAATTCTGGTTGTAGCAATTTTAATAAATATTTTTAAGTAACTGCATTCGAAATAGGGGTAAATTCAACATAAACAGGGGAGAAAATGGCTATTTTGGAAAACCAATAAATGTATAGGGCAAACAGATGAAATAAAGCAGGCCTCTTAACTGAAAGACGTATGGTCAGCGTAATTATGATAGTCGCGTTGCGGTACAGTTACCGTTGGAAGAACGGTGAGGTTCTGTGGGTAATCGGTCGAATTAAAACACGGGCAGAGAGACAGAGCACCCATCGGAACGATTGGAGCGCGGAGTCGACGTCGCGTCAGGACCGAGTGTAGCCGAACGCGTGCGGCGTGTCGTCGTCGCAGAACGGGACGGTACGGCACGAGTTCGGACGACGACGCGACGCGACACGACACGACGCGAAACGGGACGAGCAGCGGGGCGGGGAGACGAACCAAGGCGAGGCCACTCGAACTGAGCCGAACTCGAACGGAATCGAGTCGAGAGAGTCAGTGGCTGGCGACTCCTCGGGGCGTCTGGTTCGCTGTATGGGGTTTGTTGTTCTTTCGCGCTCCCTGCAAACCACGTGCGCGCAGCTCCGTGACAGCTTCGCGTCCGTACTACGTGACGCTAGTTGCCGAAGCGTCGCGCGTCTCGCTGGATGAATCGGAGAATAATTTTATGGTCTTCCTCACCCGAGTGCAGTGTAAACGCGTACTAAGGCTGACATTGAAACTTAAAAGTGATATCGCAGAAGCGACAAAATGTATATTGTAGCTAGGAAAAATTTTGTTCTAGTTAGACTTCGTTAATATTCCTCGACTGGAGGCGAGTCGCCGATAAGGAGTATAAGAACGCGTACCGTTTCTAAGATTCGTGGATACTTATTACAAAGCTGGGAATTTGTCACTCGGTGACTTGGCTCCGTGCCCTCGACGGTTATCGCAGCCGAGACTTTCGTTAGCAACTCTTATCGGGCTTACGAGAATAACCTGACTGCGTAGCGTAAATATTATGACTGCGGGAATCTTCGAATCGTGCGACGAGTTAAAATTACGATGTCCCGCTGATCGCGTTTCGAGTCGTTGCCAGCCGCGGATACGAATTGCTTCAAGGACGCGAGCTTCTTCGAAACAGCTGATCAAAAACGAAAAGCAAGACAATCGAAAAATTAAACGATTACTGCTAGCGTGTGATCGAGAGCAAAATGGACCATGGCGAATTAATCGCGAAACAGCAAGAAACGGAATAATAACGACGGGAAGAAGGAAAGGAAGAAGAGAATAATAATGGTCGAAGAAACTTGTACCTGGTATCATTCGCGAAGCGACTTAACCACTGCGGCGAAGTAGAAGAGAAATAGGGAGGACGGTTGGCAGGATAGAACGAAAAAGTGGCACGAATAAAAATAGAGGAACGAGCTGAGACGGACGAGAGAGAACGAAGTCAGGAAAGAACGATCCGTTAGGAGGGCGAGGGAAGGGAACGAGATTTCTGGGCACGCGCACTCCACCTGCTAGCGTGTAGTGGCACGCGCCATACACCCACCCTCTCCGCCTGGCCGTCGACGTTCCGTTCTACCTCCCCGCCTCTTTTCCCCCTTCGGCGTTACCTACCGTTCTACCGATTCCCCCTCGGAACCCCACCCCTGGCACCCGATCTCCCCTCATTCCACGGGTGCCTCCTCCCGCAGGAATCCCCTCCCATGCACACGCGTGCCGCGGCTCGGGACGCGCGGGACTCGGGAGTCAATCGCTCGCGGACTTCGATAGGATGAGCAACACGAAGAGGTCCTTGCTCTTTCTCCTCTCTCCTGTGCAGCTTTCCGCGTTCCACCGGCCTTCTCTTCTCTTTCTTTGTCTTCGACTATCCCTCTTCTTTGGTCAAGGCAAATCTCGACAGGATCTAAAATTAAAGTAGTTTTCCTGCTAAATTGCTAATATTCAGAGTATCGAAAGAAAGAACAATACAGATAGAATTTGTCGTTAAGCATCGACAACGCTGCGTGGCTCGCCTCGGGATCGAAGCTCGAGCATTCTCAAGGAAGTTTGAATTTAGGTGAATCCTCGCGACATCGCAACAGGAGCGAGTCGCCGGCCGATGTTCGCGTATGAAAGAACCCGGTCGCCTTCCACCTCTTCCTCTTCTTTCCGGCGTTCGTCAACCGCCAGGGGGGCGACGTGCACCTCGATCGGTGCATTGTAAGCAAAGAGAACAAAGGGACGAAGACGGGGACGACGACGAGGACGAGGAAGAGAAACGAGTGGCGAGGAGAAGAAGAAGGAACGAGATAAAGAGTGGGGGAGCTGACGCGTGCTACTACCGCCGTTACTTCCATCGAAACAAAAATAGTCCAGTCTCTCCGCGGCGAAGAACCGACAAAAAGGGAAGCAAAAGATAGCCGAGAGAAAGAGTAGGAACGGAGTTATCGTAATACGTGCGAAGCACACGTGCGACGCGTTCACAGAGGTTACAAGATACACAGGCTTCAGTTCGAGTGCAACTTTTGCATAGAGTGTGACCAGTGCGCGAAGATGGCACACGCTTTTAAGATAAAGATTCGTCACGATCAAAAATAAAGCAGATATTTCGGTGTGACCGATCAGACAGAAGAAAAAGCAGAAATTTTATTCGGCATCGAGACTTGACTTTCCCTGCTCTGAAACGAGATCTGTCTCTTTCTTCGTCCATAGGTGAAGAGAGAAAGAGAGCGAGTGCATGGTGTGATCAGCTGTTCGTGCGTGCTCTCCCGCTCGTTCCGCAGGAATTCTCGAATTCGTACGATCCGATTGATTGAATTAGTTCGCGGAGGTTCTTGTCCCCGTACGCTCGTCAAGTCAACATTCTCGAACCACCTGTTGACGATTTACGAGGGAAAATCGAATCGACGTGATTCCAAGAAAGTTCCAAGGTTAATCTCCATCTAACAATCGTAATTGTCGATTCAATATTGTCATCGTGACGTTGTGGGAAATAAGCGAACACCCACCTTTCTTACCAATCCATGCAGTGACAAGGACCGGAAACGAGTCGAGAAAACCTAACCCCTAAAATGTGTTCGTGGAGATATTGCGGAAACAGTGTGAAATCGACACGGACGCGTGTGTTACCCTTCGAAAAACATTAAGAGAATAATTTCCGAGAGTGCACGACTAGTGGTAAATAAAAATGCGAGCGGCGAGACGAGTGTTTTTCGAAGCGAGCGTTATCTATTAATACGTACGTTATCTGTCAGTCGCATCGGAGGCGACGGAGACGGAACACCAGGGTGAAAGGAGGAAAGAGAGAGGTTAGAGGTCACGGAACCGATATGCGGCACGCAAACTCGTTTCGAGTAGCAGCGAATTTCGGCCCGCGGATTCGAGCGGACTCGCGTGGTCGTCGTCGTCGTCACGGCGCAAAACGGTGGTGATATGCCGGTCAGGGGACACGGGAGCGAAGATTCTATTCCCGGCGTCTTTTTCTCGCTGGTTGCGTGACGTTCGACGTTGCCGTCGAGAGTATTATAACAACGTTCTCGACTCGGCCTCGTTCGCTGGTCGAAGTGATGAAGGAAGGGCATTACGATTATCATACGGGCATCGAAGCGTTGTGTACAGTTACATGTAACATAAGAAAGCAGGGAAGAAATTTTGCTGTAAAGTTCGCGTTTCTGAAGTGTTAAAGACAGAGGTGTATCCTTCCTCAAACAATTTGAGATGAGTCGCATGCTGTAAACCGCGAGGAAAGACAAGAAAAATACAGTTTGTCGTAAAGTGTTAAAAACAAGGGGTACTCTTTATAATACAATGAGTCGACTAAATGTTTCTGTGACGTGATAATCGCACGCGAGAAAAAGTTTGCTCGGATCGTACTTATCGAAGGACATGTTAAATGTTGTGAAGTGTTTAAGACAAGGGGTGTACCCTCCCCGAAAGATTTAGGATGAGTCAAGTGCTGTAAAGTTCTAAAGGCAAGATAAGGGGTGTGCAGTCGTGTACATTTTTCCAAACAATATATAGTAGAATGAGTCGAAGAAGTGTTTTTGCGTGACTCTTGACAAAAGTTTAACCGAACGGTGTTTATCGATCGTGTATTCGACTTGGTTACACGCGAGAGAAGTCGGCGGTGGTGGGAAAGCGCGGAAGACGCGACGGAAAGAGAAAGTACGCACGCCGGCTGGTGGTTTGCAAAATGATTTTCAAGTTTCGTTGAGAGAATCGATGAAAGAAAACATGGATCAGTAACGGCGCATCTGTGTATCATCGTACCGAGAGAGAATAGTTAGTGTATTAGTGAGAATCGTTTAATTAACGAGGAGAAGATCGGCGAAGGGGCATGGTGGGCTCCCACCAACCAGGGCCACAGGCCCGGGTGGCCCCCCTGTAACGAGGATACTTCTCACTATCGTGCACCATTAAACTACCTGGAATGATGGTATGTTCATTTTAAAACTCGTACGTAATCTAATGGTATTTGTAGCATTGTAGAGTAATGGTAAAAGTATTTGGTTATGAAAGTCAGAAGTTCAATTAGATAACCACAGATACTAGAAATTTATGTACATCTTTTTAAAAGCTTGACTTAATAGTAGAATTTTAATTCTTAATTCTACTATCAATAGAACTCAGCAGATGAATAATTGCGTGAAATTTTCTAATATCCTTTTTATTACATATAATGATACAAAAATGTAATGGTATTTATTCCTACGCATACTAATATAAAATTCCCATAGACAGCTCAATATTCTGATAATTCTCAATATTCTGTTAATTTAAACATCGTAAATCGGCATGTACCCTGTTTTGTTATTTGATCACAAACAAAACTGGATTTGCAATTAATTTTAGTCCAAGCGTTAAAAGTTAATAAATATCGGTCGTTCCATTTAAACTGGGGATTAAACGACAACGCGTTAATAATTTGGAGTTGGCGTCAAAGGGTTTGGGTGAAAAAAAATCAACGACAGGTTTTCCGAGTCGGTGTCCAACGGCAACACGGAGATAAAGGGTATCGATTCCTGAATTTTTTTGTTTATCTCCTGTGTCTGCTGGTAACTCGAAGCGCGCACGAAATGTCACCAGATAACGAAAGTTCCGGTACGATAAAAATGATTCAAACCTTCCCCAAAAATCGACGAAAAATCGAACGTAACTCGCCGTCGCGTTTTCGCACCCTTTTTAGCCGATTATGTATTGTATGTGGGCTACGAGTCCTCCCGTAATGTTACGGTAGGCCACTTGTTTTTTTAATGGCAAGTGAAAAATAAGGCTTTGATTGGTATATACAACTTGTTGTCCTAAATACTAAGTCGAGCCTGATTACTGTCCATGACCAGCCAATTCTGACTGACGCCCCGGATCGCGAACCGGTGATTAGTGCAACGGAACCTGGGACAGGGAAATGCGGAATGTCCGCTCGCGCTTCATGCCCCTATTATCGGTCGTCCGACCGCTAGAAGCCGTTAGACGGCGGCCAATCTATTGTTCTACGTGTGTGCATGCGATCTTGACGTTCCAAGAGCGAAGCCAATGGCCTTCCTACTGATCTTATCTTGGATTTTCTAAATGCGAATGTAGATTGGAATAAGCCCTATTGCTATCGATTTGAATTGGATAAAATTCGAAAGAAATATTTAGGATCTAGTTAAGTAAGTTTCAAAGTATCATAAAGATAGCTTAACGATTTTCATGAGTTAATTAAAAGAGATAAGCACTATAAAATTTTTAATATACTCTTATCGACTAAAATTGCTATAATATTGATTTTACAAATTGAAATTAAACGAAACTTGAAAGGATTATTCAAAAAGGACCTGTACATGTATCTCTGAAGTTAATATCGTGTAAAGCAAACGGCGATTAGTCGATTTCTCGGTAAAGGTAGCCGTCTGTTTCATGACGGAGAGGGTTGGTCGATTTGTCGTCACGCGCGCGACGAGGCGTCCCGATTCCGACGTGTCATAACAGGGGAACGAGCCGCTTCGCTCTCGGGTGGCCGGCTCATGGCTGCGCCACGGAATTATTTATACCGCTTGATTACACGCGTTGCGCCGTGCCGGGCCGAGTCGCGCCGAGCGGAGCCACGGAAACAGCCGAAACTCTGTTCTATAGCCTGTCGTGCGCCGTATCGCTCTATCGAGCATCGACGCGAGGAATCCCGGCATGCTTCAACCATCTTCGCGATATGGAACGTACGATAAAGACCTGCTTCACACCAATAATCTAGTCTGTCATAAGTTCGAATTATATCATACCTTATGGATTTTGGATAATGGATTTGATCCAACATATTTTGATCGCAAGTATAGTCGTTATAAGTAGGGAACATACATATAGAGTATCTGCTCTAAGGAAACATAGGCATATGAGAATAATCGGAGCGCCCAAGTGAGAGACTTTGGCCCAGGTAATTAAGAAAAAGAAAATGAGTGCGAGAATTTCTTCTTTTTCTATTAAGAGGGAGGTATAGGAATGGGGTGACTCTATGTAAACAAATAAGTTGAAAATATAGAACAAAATTTTTTCATTTGAAATTTTATTTTTAAGAAAATCGGCTTTGAGAACCTACTGGATATACGTAATCTCGTCCAAGTCTCAATTTAATGGATTTTATTATGGATTGTGTCTTTGAAAAATCACTACTGTAATTGCAATTTTAACATTGCAAAGTAACATTCCAAGGAACATACGCAAAGAAGTAAAAAGACACAATTATGTATGCATAATCATAAATAACATTTCCGACAAGATGATAATAAAATTTAATAGTAAGCTCTTTTTCATATCGAACCAACGCAGATTCCATTCGCGTAAATGAAGAGTACAAATTGGATAATTGTTATACTATAGAGTTGTTTAATAATATTACACACATCCTATTAAATTTATCTAGAAGAAAACAATCACTAATACCATTAACTATTTTATGTCGTGAAACTAGCCTACGTCTATCGCGCGTCTTTCTAACTCGTTGATCTCTCCGAAGCGGAGGATTCGAATAAACCGGAAACGTCTGACCGCCGTAACTGTATTGCACTGCGCACAATCATCATAGTTGTTTGTATTGAAATTGCGGTGCTTGTCTCTTAGAGCATAATAGGGACGTATTTATTACACCGTGACTTCGTACGTACACCGATGCAAAATTATTCAATGAAAATGCGGTTTTCTTAGAAACTATGAAATTCAATTTTCTATTCAGAATATTATTTTATAACAAACTGCATCAACAGTAAATTTGTACTCAAATACATATACAAAAATAGAAATATAGTAAATATAGTATACAAAAAGTGTCATTAGACTTGTTAATACATTCTGATCTATTTTGTTACCAGTAATCAATGAATATATTTTCAACAGTTTTTACGACACAGTCTTTGCATCGCCAGCTACTAAACAGTAGTACTAAATGACGAAATAGTTGCGTTAATTATTTTAAATATGTTAAACATAATCTGTATCTAAAAGAAATTGATCAACTTTGATTTTCAAATGAATCTTAGATTCGCTTATCAGTTTTAAGAAGTATATTAATCGTCCACGTCCTTGACGGATTGTGTTTCATTCAACACATGTGTAGTTCGCTAGATTACAATCATTTCTTTTGCGTTAAACTTTTTTTCTTAACAGTATAGATTATATACATGTATATCGAAATGTAAATTACAGTTCACAGGTGAAAATATACATACAATATACATACTCACAACAATTGTGTTACTGTGTGAACAAGTTACGAACGCAAGAAGTAACAAGTCTCGTTTGTGACAAAATGAAACTGCAATTGCAAGGGTCCATAATTACTTAAATTGAACTAAGAATATTTGGACATTTACGGGCACGAGGGGATCGGTTCTTAGTCGCTCCAATTCGCGAACCAGTAATAAACCTGTTTGCCCGCTGCGGTGTAATTTATTTTAGAAACACGTGGGTGGCCATCGAGAGGGAACGAATTCATTCCGTTGGTCCACGAACGACTTGATAACAGCTCCAAAATCCTTTGTTATTTGCACGTCTTTAGTCCAGCACGCAGGATTCTCGTTAGCTTCTATCTTGAATTAAGTTTCGCATCTTCCATCAATAATATAAACAGACTGCAGATTGTTATGCAGAAAGCAACATTTGTTATGATAATTTAGATAGGAATATTTTTATTACTTAATAATTATAACATGCATTTCACTTTTAATTTTTTGTACGTCGTTGGTATTATTTTTATATCTTTTACAAGGTACAAACATCAAATTTGTAGTTTAAATGTAAAAGAAGGAGAAAATAGTATAACTAAGATTACTGTAGATCAAGTTTGGTCCAGGTTCTGATTAGTTCCAGGGTAGGTTTTTAGATAACAAAGAAAAAGAATCACAATTACCGTGCATCTACATGTATAAAGTAGAGGGAGATCAAGGTTTTCAGTAGAGTATCTTGGAAGTGGGTCAGGAAATATTATAATAGAATGGTGCAGAAAAATGGCACAGGTGCCAAGTTCATGCTTTCATCTTCTCTCGCATTCCTTTTGAATAATATACCAGAAAATGTTCTCGTCCACTTAATACGAGTTACCTAATCGAATTTCGGTAACCGGTGACTCAAGCGACATGCGTACACAATTTGAGACCAAGTCTCATTTGAAACAGAAACGAACAAGTAGGCTGTAGATTTTGTGATACAGATTTTACTGTTGATGATCTATAGAGAAATATGTATAGTGAAATGATATTGTATGCGCTTTTATAAGTGCATACTACTCAAATTTTTGGTGGAACTAAATGTCATATAATAGCAATCTTATATTAATAAAATCTGTAAATAATTTATCTCTTTCTGAGAAGTTTTAACTTTTTTTTATGAATAGATGAGAGTATTAATTTTTGCAATAAGAGAGTTCTGAATTAAAGATAAAAGTTGTCACGAGAAGGAGTCCTCGAAGTGTACTGCGACGTGTTTAAGCGGGTAATTCCATAGGGAAGAAGATGAAATCACTCGGTGTCGCGTCTCAGGTAACACTTAAATAACTCGCTGTAAAGAGAATAGCCGGAGCGAACCGGAGAAAACAGACTACTTCCACGCATAGATGATAAAACCGATAAAGCAAGAACACCTTCCAATACAAGACAAATTATTATACATTTATGAAACGCACAATGTAACGTATTGCACATCACATATTTAAGAAACATACTACGTGTTATGTACTTTAGATTCTATTTAATTTAGATATCTTACTGATTTATTAATTATCATAACTGTTATGTAATACCAATTAATGAAATATTGATTTAATGGCCTGGAGAAATTTCTACAATTCATCAAATTTCATGTATTGTTTGGTTGATCTCCCATTCAAGATTTAGCTTTATTTCATTTTTCCATTCAAGATTTCACTTGATAATTAGTATTTGATACATCAGAAATACCTTGAAGGCAGAT